TATTTTGCATGTTTTTTATTGTCATAATTATATTTATTTTATTTAACATATTAATTTTAATTTATTAAACACTATAATTATATTATGTGCATTGTGCTCCTTTTTTTTTTTATAATTTAGTTGATATTTTCTATTTTATAATTATATAATTATATTTATTTTATTTGAACAGGAGTAAAACGAATTTGCTACAGTTTGGGTTGTCAAGTGTAAAAAGGATTTCTGCTCAACATATTCGGACAACTATTGGTCTGAAAATTTTATTCAGACCACTAGTGGTTTGAATAAACACCCAGAATCTAGAAGCTTCTCCTATGAGACTTTTTCATTCTTTTTATTTAAGAACAATCCCACTCAAACGAACCCTAATTCCGTTTCTACCAAAACCAGATGCGTGGACTTTACTACTATAGTCGCTCCTAACCTTGTCACCATCAGTTAGTCACTCAAAATGGCTTCACTGTGGTGTAAGGCAATATCACGACAAAACTGCAAATGCATAGAGTTAAGATCATTACTTTTAAAGTTATGTCACGTCGTTACTACACTACAAATATGTAGGCTTGGAATTGCTAATTTTAAGGTTAGACTTTATGGCATTCAAGACTTTATGGCATTCAAGACTTTTAGAGCGTGTTATGTGAACGGGAGCAGAACGAATCTAGCATGGTTGGGAGGGGGGGAATAATTCTGCTGCACATATTCGGACCACTATTGATCTGAAAAAGATATTCGGACCAATCCGAATATGTGCAGCAGAATCTAGAAGCTTATATTCTAAGGCTTTTTCATTCTTTTCATTTAAGGACAATTCAATCGAAACGAGCCTCGATTCCGTTTCTACCAAAACCAGATTCATGCACTTCATTATTATAGTCACTTCTAACCTTGACACGGTAAGTTAGTCTTTTAAAATAGCTTCACAGTGGCAAAATGCATCATTGCAAAATCGCAAACGCATAAAGTTACTAGCATTACTTTTAAGGTTATGCCATGCCATTCTTAAACCAAAAACATGTAGGCTAGGTTGTCACGCCCCAGAACCCAAATCCGGGGACGCGACAGATGCTGTGCACTCGTGAGAGGAACCCACAAACGCACAAGGCTCGGAACTTATCACACCACAATCTGATACCATCAAAATCTGAAGATAAAAATCTCAATATTTGCTCTGATATCAAAATCTCCAATTAACGTCTAGTTTACAAGGTCATTATTTATCTCTAAAATTTCATATCCAATTACAATGACTAGCCTTCTAACTCGTCATTTCCCGTGGTTTCCCCGTCCTCGGTTTCGCTTCCTGAAATGGTGGACAAGGAAAAACTATGAGATAAACTCAGTAAGTAAATATGGAGTGCCCCTTATTAAACTTATAGCATGCCAACAAGTGCAATCACGAAAAACGGATACAATACGAGAACGAAATAGACGTCTCCTCTATAGGTCACGGCCAGTGTTATAAACCTCCCATTGACAGGCACACGATTTACTAGTGTATAATCCCCACTAGCAGGGTCACTTGTACGAACCAGTTCTATCACTAACATATCGACATGTGCCGACATGTGCTAGCGTTTAACCCCCACTAGCCGAGTTACAATAACATATCAACATGTGCCGACATGTGCTAGCGTTTATAAACTCCCCCACTAGCAAGGTCACTAATAACATGACCACATCGGAGACAAAACAGGCAGAAGTTAACAGAAAAATCATACTTTACCAATTACTTTCAAATCATCAGGACAATCAATTAAATTTCAAGTAGGCATGCTCAATTTAATGAAAAGCATAGAAATCTCACTTCAAATCGATCATACTTATGTAAAACGGGTTTAGTCCCGCCACCACTTCAAAAACAAATCAAAACATGCTTTTAAAAACAGTACGGGCATTACCATAAATTTACTTACCTCACTCGCATAAAACCAAGCACTCAATTTTAGTGCTAACTGACAAAACGATCGGAAACCTAATCAAAATATTTCAAGAATTAATACCACTATCACAAATTCAAGGTAAACTCATCATTAGGATCATTCCTAATCACAATGCTATTTTCATAAATCTCCACATGATCAAATATCTCCAAATTCATTCTTATATCACAAATTAATCATTTAAATTTCCGTTAATTGTTGACCCTCGGTGTGTGAACAGTAATATGTGAACAGTGTCCGTGGACAGTAACCCCGACGTGAACAGTAACTCCACTTCCACAAATTGGCCAAAACACTAGCTAATTCACAGGATTTTCTCCAAAAATCACAGCAACTAATCAAGCTAATTTACACTTAAACCAAGCTTAAAAACGTAGCTTAAGCTACCAAAATTCATCCCCAATTTCTGCAAACTTTCGGACATCACAGGGGCAGCCAATCCATGGACAAAATTCAACAATTAAAGGGGTAAATTAGGACTTAGAGAAGCTGCCACATACCATAAATCCAGCAAGCAAAACCGGAGTGCAGATTGGGGAGGAGGCCGGCGGCAAGTGCAGGGGACTCACGGGGCTACCCAAAATTAAAGGAACCAAGAGCAATTAAGGTAAACCCAAGGCAATTCAAAGAAGAACTGAGGGATTGGTAGCTGTTTCTTACCCAAAACCGGAGCAAATCACCCCCACAAAGCAGGAGCAGCCGGCGGAAGGACAGAGCAAAGCAGAGCAGATCAGGATTCTGCAGAGGGGTGGGGGAAATTTCTGGGTTCTACATGTGTTGTAGAGCAAGAAAAGAAGGAGAAATCAAGCTCATCTCACCGGTTTCTCAAAGGCTGGTGCCGGGTTCCCCTTTCTTTTTTTTTTCTTTGGGTGGCTGCACCGGGAAGAAGAAGAGCAGAATCGGGCTGAGCAGAAAGAGGAAAAGGAGAAAAAGGAAATAGGCCATCCTTATCCAATTTCTACTCTTTTAAGTCCCTCAACTTTCAGAATATTCACATTAGTCTCCAAAACAATCTTTTCTCACAATCAAGTCCCTAACTTAATATTAAAATTTCACAAAATTTTGGGGTATCACATAGGTATTGCTAATTTGAAGGCTAGATTATATGGCATTCAAGAATTTTAGAGCATTTACTTGAACGGGAGTTGAGTGAATCTAGCACGGTTCGGGGGAAAAAATAAATAATAATTTTCCTACGCATATTCGGACCACTGTTGGTTTGAAAACATATTTGGACCAATAGTGGTCCGAATATAACATTCCTTTTTTTTTTTTTATTAAATATACTTTCCATACTTTTTTTTTGAGGTTTTATTATTCAAACCAACTTTGGTCTGAATAGTTTTGTCGCCTTTTCTGCTAAAATTTTAAATGTGAAAATTTTAAAATTTTGACATTTTCCAAACCAAGAATGGTCTGAAATAATAAACCGCCAAAATTTTCTTCCCATTTGAAATTTTTATTATGGGCGCCAAATGTCCATTTAATACATTACGGACCGATTACAGTCTGAAATAAATTTACCTATATATTTCCATGCCTGCTACCTCCTCCAATGATTTTTCTTGTCTACCCCTTTTCTCTGTTATTCTTCTCCTCCTCTTCATTTTCTATCTAGTTTCCCTATCTTCTTTCTCTCATGCTTCTAATATCTCTTCTTCCCCTCACATTTGTGTTGCTCTTCTAATTTCCTATGCCTTTCTTCCCTACTTCTTTTCTTTTTTCTCAAATTCTCCTCTTTCTTCCTGTTTTATCTCTTTCCTTCCCCTATTATTTCTTCCCTTTTTTTACTATATTTTCTGTTTTTATGTTTATAGTTTTACATTTTGTTTTTGATTTGCTAATTTGTGATAGTAGTGTACTTAATTTTATTTCCCCTTGTTTTACTAACCTTTTTTTTTTAGGTTATTACGAGAAGTTGGTGAATCTTAAACTTTACTTCTATACATATATATATTTTTTATCTTTTAGTGCTTTTTCTAATTCCATTTTATCATACTAATTGAATTTCATTTATTTTTTTA